GCCGCATCGCCGACCTCTTGGGGCGGCAGTAAGAGTGAAAAACGGAGTTTGCGGAACGATTTCTGGGGAATCCTGGGGTTTCAGCTTCTTGGGATTTCGTCGGGGGCGGTTGGCGGATCGCCGCTCTGCTCTTGGGCTTCCCTGGGCTCTCCTGGCGGCACTTTCGAGGCCTCTTGGGAGCCGTTTCGGGGCCGCTTGGGAGCCTCTTTTGGACGACTGCTCGTGCGAGTCCTCTTCCCTCGCCGCCAGCAGCTGCCGGCACGCCGCGCCCGCGCCCCCGGGCCGCGCGGGCAGCTGCACGGCACTGCGCCGCGGGCGCCGCGCGCGCCTCCGGGCACCCTGCGGGGTGCGGGCCAGGCGCCGCGGGGCGCCGCGGGGCGCCGTGCGCGCCCGGGCGGGCGCCGGCTGCAAGGCCGCCAGCGCCCAGCATCCATCACGGGCAACGGGACGACGGGCATGGGTGCGGAAGGAGGGGGTACGAGGACCAGCAGCAGTTCCTGTTCATTTTGAACAGGACTTGCTGTCCGCGCCGCCGCGGCCTGTGTCCATACAGAAGGCCGCCTGCCCAACAGCGGCCGCTGATGGTTTGGGACAACATTTGTTGTTGGGCATTGTACCCATCTTTTCCGTACCCATTTCGGGCCTCTAAGCCGTGCGCGCCCGGGCGGGCGCCGGCTGCAAGGCTGCCGCCGGCGCCCAGCATCGATCACGGGCACCGGTAGGGGGGGACTACAAATTGTTCATTTCTAATTCTTCGAAAGTCCTGTGATTTATTGGGGGCCACGCTCCTTTCATTTCTAATTGTGCTATCCTGGGCCTCTTCCTGGCAACCATGGGGCCAGGAACAATTAGAAACGAGCACAGTTAGAAATGAGCACGATTAGAAATGAACGACGTGTAGGCATAGGGGGGGCATACATCGACCCCCAGTCGCCCACTGATCGCCGATAGGGGCCCGATGGCCCCAACCTGCCCAGGAAGGTGCGGGTTCACGATCGGAGGCCCATCGCCGATCTATGGGCGATGCATCGCCGATTCCAGGTCGATGCATCCCCCCTATGCCAGTCCCCCCCTATCGTTCAACGATAGGGGGGGGACTGGCATAGGGGCAATTATCATCGTTGCCCCTCATGCAAGGCTGCCGCCGACACCCAGCATCTAGGCTTAAGTCGGGCATGTCCCTCTACAGGAGGAACAGTCAAAAAATAAGATGGGGACGATTTTTCATGGCGCCCACATCGCAGAGTGGATTTCGTTCGGAAAACATAGGGTGGGCCCGGAGTGTCCTGGAGAATTTCGTTCCAGATTTCGGGGTCAGTTTCGCGCGGATTTTTTCGGCCAGGAATGAGGACTAAAATAAGTCTCGTTTTTCACTCGCCGTTTCGGGGTTTCGCATGGACAGAAATCTACGCAAGAATCCGCTGCAGCACGTCTGCAAGGGTGGCGCGTCGACATCTAGGCTTGAGTTGGGCATGTCCCTCTAAAGGAGGAGTAGCCAAAAAATAACATGGGGGCGATTGTCTATCATTTTTTGATCATGTTGGAGTATGTTTGGACTATTTTTCATTTTCCTTCCAAGTTCCGCCCTCAGGAGGACATGCCCGACCTAAGTCTAGGCCTCCCAGATGGGGTCGGGGCGGATGCGGTCGGAGGATCGCGCCGCATCGCCAATGCATCGACTGGGCGGCTCAATGTGCAGACCGATTTGCTTCACGTCGGCGTCGTCGATGCACCGCCGACGTCGACGATGCATCGCTGGTGCATCGCCGATGCATCGCCGATGCATCGCCGATGTATCGGCGATGCGGCTCGATCCTCCGACCCCATCCACTCCGGCCCCACTGAGGAGGCCTCTACAGCCAGGCTTGGGCCGCGCCCCCCGCTGGAGGTGGTTGAGCTCCATGCCACCCGCCTTCGCGATGACGCCCACGGGCGTGTGAGACGCGTGAGCGGCGGCAGTGCGCCTCCGCACTTCCAGCGTGCCCACCCTGGGGGCCGTCGCGAGCTCCGCCTCCAAGCTCTCGACCTGCCGCCGTGGGGTCACCATGCGCTGGAGGACGGGCTGCGTGCCGGCGCCCCGCGGACGCCATCCGCGCGGCGCCTTGCCTGGCGCGCCTCGCTGGCCAGGCGCAGCGTCGGGGGGCTGCTCCGCCGCCGCGGGGGCGGCCCTGCAGCCAGCCGCCGCCATAGACACTGCCGCACAGGAGGAGACGCCTTCTCCAACGAGGGACATGCCGCGCACCTCGCCCGCCTGGCGCCTAAGGCAGTCTCGAGCCAGATTGGCTACGGATGACGACGACGATGATGATGTTGATGCTGATGCTGATACTGATGCTGATGCTGATGCTGATGCTGATGCTGATGCTGATGATGTTGTTGGTGATGCTGATGATGATGATGATGCTGATGATGATGATGCTGATGATGATGATGATGATGATCATGATCATGATCATGATGGTGATGGTGATGGTGATGGTGATGGTGGTGGTGGTGGTGGTGGCGGCCGTGGTGATAATGATAATGGTGATGCTGATGATGTTCATGGTGGTACTGCTGCTGATGATGATAATCATGATGATGATGCTTATGATGAAGGTGATGATGATGGTGGTGGTGATGGTGGTGGTGATTATGATGATGACGACGTTGATGACGATGATGCTGATGATTGTGATGATGATGATGATGACGATGATGATGCTGATTATGATTATGATTATGATGCTGCTGACGATGATGGTGATGGTGATGATGACGATGATGATGATGATGATGGTGGTGGTAGTGGTGGCGGTCTTGGTGATGTTGATGACGGTGGTGATGAAGATGTTTTTGCTGCTGATGATGATGGTGGTGGTGATAATGATGGTGGTGATTGTGATGGTGACGGCGATGGTGCTGGTGATGGTGATGATGATGATGGTGGTGGTGATGATGCTGATGGTGACGACGACGACGATGTTATGATGACGATGGTGGTGATCATGATGATGATGATGATGATGATGATGAGGATGATGCTGATGATGATGCTGATGGTGATGATGATGATGCTGCTGCTGCTGATGATGATGTCGACGACGATGATGGTGATGATGGTGATGATGGTGATTGTTGTGATGATGTGTATGATGGTGACGGTGGTAGTGGCGGTCCTGGTGGTGATGATGATGGTGATGAAGATGCAGCTGCTGCTGCAGGCGTTGATGATAACGGTGATGGTGATGGCGATGGTGATGGTGATGGTGATGCTGGTGGTGGTGGTGATGATGATGCTGATGATGATGATGATGATGATGGTTACGACGACGATGATGATGATGGTGATGATGAGAAGGAGGAAGACGATAATGACAACGACGACGACTACGACTGCGACGACGACGGCGATGCTGATGATGATGCGAATGCTTCGTGATGGTGGTGGCGATTATCATGATGGAGGTGGTGGTGGTGATGGTGATGTCAGTGGTGATGGTGGTGGTGGTGATGATGCTGATGACGATGAGGATGGTGATGATGATGGTGATGGTGATGTTCATGGTGGTGATGCATGAGCATGACAATGATAAATGATAATTGGAATGACACTGAGAATGCTAATGGTAGTGGTAATGAGGTGTGGGTGACAATCAGGAGGACGATGTAGACGAGAAACATATTGAGGAGAGCGAGAAGGAGGATTCTACTAAAAATGGTGACAGAAGGAGGGGAGGGGAGTTAGAGGAGGTAGGAGAAAAGAGGAAACCAACACGAGGATGAGGTGGGGGAGAAGAAGACGGAGGAGGAGGGGGAGGAGCAGAAAGAGAAAGCCAAGTCTGGAGCAGGAAGAGGAGGAGCAGGAGGAGGAGGAGCAGCAGCAGGAAGAAAAGGAGGAGGAGGAGGAGGTGGAGGAACAGGAATGAGAGGGGGGTAGAGCATGAGGAGGGGGGGAGAGGGAGAGGGTTGACGGAGAGGGATGACGATGCCGATGATGACGAGGAGGAGGAGGAGGAGGAGGAGGAGGAGGAAGAGGAAGAGGAAGAGGAGGAGGAAGACCAGAGCAAACCCAAGATGCATCAGCAATGCTGCAACGCTCCCTCCCGCTCCAAGCTCCCCTCTCACACACAGAGTCCCCGCAGGCTGCGAGCCGTCGCCTTCACTGCACCGCACCGTCCCCCACGAGGCACCGCCACCCTGTGGGCGCCTGCCCTTCGGGCGAGAGCCCCGCTCCGACAGCGACGCGCCCTGCACCCGTCCAGCGAGCGATCAGCACTGCGGCATGGGCGCGGTCCTGCCCGGCATCGCTCGGACGTGCGCACCGTGTCTCGGCGAGGGCCACCGAGGAGCCGCGAGGGGTCATCCTGCGGCAGCAGACGCGCGCGACGCCGACAGCGTGCACGGGGAGCGGACGTCCGAGCCATGGCCAGGAGAAGGGCACGGCCACGCGGCTCCGCGCGCGGTGCCCCGCGAAAGGCAGACCTTCCCGCTTCGAGGGCGGCCCGCCCCGCCGCCCCCCCCCCCCTCCCAGCCGCGCAGCTGTTGCACACGCGCGCGGGCGCTGCCGACCGTGGGCCGCCCGAGGAAGTCCTCGGGCGAGGGCCCCCAGCCCTTGGAAGAGAAGAGGGGCCGTCCTCCGTCTTCGTCGTTTCGGCGGCGAGCGAGGGGGGAAAGCGAGAAGCAGAGAAGCTTACGCTCCAGGTGTCGCGCCTCGCAGCTTGCTCAAGAAAAAGGAGAGAAGGCCCTCTCGGAAGGCGGCGGAGCGTCTCAGGAGCCCTCCGGCCTTCTGAGAGGCCTCCTGTGTCTTCGGGTCAAGGCTTCGAACAATTTTCAGATGGCCGGAGGGGGAACTTCTGGGCCTTCTGAGAAGGCCCGCCCCTTCTCGCTTCCCCCCCCGCGCTCGCCGCCAAGTGCTGCAACCCTGCAGGACGATTGCGCGCGACGCTAAGGCGGCTGCCCCATTTTGAAAACCACCCTCCCTCCATCCGTGTAGCCGCTGGAAGCGTTTCAGACGAACGCGCGCGGCGTTGAGGCGATAGCTCCATTTAGAAAACCACCCGCCTTCCATTTTTGTATCCGCTGGACGCGTTTTGGCGTCGTCGTATGGTCGTCTTCGCCACCGTCGTCGCCACTGTCGCCGTCTTCGTCCCCGCCGCAGTCGCCGTGCTCGTCGAGTCGTTGTCGTCGCAGTGTTCGGTAATCGTCGTCGTCGTCGTCGTCGTCGTCGTCGTCGTCGTTGTTGTCATCCCTCGTCTTTCTCGTCAACGTCGTCGTCGTCGTCGTCGCCCAGCTGGCCCAGAGGACTGCTCCCCGCGGCGGCCGCCGCAGCAGCCGCCGCCCTGGCGCACTGCTCGGGCGGTGGGCGCCGGCGGTGGCGGCGGCACACCGCCCTGCGCGCGACGCACGTGCCCATGCCGAGCAGGACCCGCTCCGGCGTGCCCGCGAGCGCCCGCGGCCGCCCTGCGCACGCGCGCGCGCGTGCGCTCGGAAGTCCCCCGGCCTTCTGAGAAGTTTTCTAAGGAGGAGGAGGAGGAGGAGGAGGAGGAGGCCAAACACCGAAAACTCCTCAGAAGGCGCGGGGGCTTCTGAGAAGTCCCGCCGCCTTCTGAGGAGGCCCTTTCCTTCTCGCTTCCCCCCCAGGCGCGCTGCCGACACACGACACACGGGGCGGGCAGTTTACTCTGCGGGTGCCCCCCCTCCTGTGTTGTCCGCCGCTGGTGGGTGTCTTCGGCGCGTCGGGGGAACAGGCGCGTGCGCGCGCGCGCCGAGCGCCCAGTGTGCCCGACGTGTCCTGGCCGATCCAGGTGTCTTCAGAAGCATCCGAAGGGCAGGTTTTTTTCGCCCGCCCGTGCCGCGGGGCCCGTGCTCCTCCGCCCTGGCCCTGGCTCGCCTCGGGCGTCGCCAGAGGTGCCCCTGGACCAGCGTGTCCCAGTGCACTTCCGGGGAGGCCCAGATTATGGCCTCGGAAGCACCCCGCACGAAGCCCAGAGCACCCCTGCAAGATGATGCGAAGAGCTGGTGACACCTTGAGGAAAAAAGCAGGAAGACACCAGGACGATCCAGGATTCCAGGGTTCCAAGATTCCAGGATTCCAGAATTACAAGAGACAGCCATGAACAAAAACATGATTCCAGGATTCCAGGAAAGAGCAATGAAGAACCACGAAAAACCATGATTCCAGGATTCCAGGAAAAACAATGCAAAACCATGCGAGGGTCACTTCTGGCAGCACCCGACGCCTCGCTCCGTTTCCTGGAGGGCGTGGCTCGGCCCTCGGCCGCACGCGCGCGCGCGCCCGAGGCCGCTCTGCCAGGCGCACGGTGCCGGCTCGGGCGCGGCGTGCCCGCCGCCTGCCAAATCAAGGGAGGCAATACCACCCGGACCCGGCAACTGACGGCGGAGGAGGAGGAGGAGGAGGAGGTGGAGGAGGAGGTGGAGGAGGAGGGAGGAGGAGGAGGTGGAGGTGGAGGAGGAGGAGGACGTGGAGGTGAGGAGGAGGAGGAGGAGGAGGAGGAGGAGGAGGAGGAGGAGGAGGAGGAGGACGTTTAATAAACGGCCTGTGGCGTTTGCGCAACAGCCCCGCCCCTTTCGATCCCTTCCCTCGGGTGCGCTCACTAAAAAAACGCGGCTTCGCTTGTCGGGGTGGCTCTTCTGGGTGGCTGGGTGCTTCTCTGCCCTCTCTACGCCCAGCCGGCCCCTCCGCCGCCTGCCAGACGGGCCGGAGCACCAGCCGCAGCGGGGCCCGGCCTTGGGCAGCGGGTGCCGCGGCAGGGCCGCCGGCCCCGCCCGCACCAGGGCGGGCGGCCCCGCGGAGCGGGCGGTGCGGGCCCGCGGGCGCGCCGCAGGGTGGACGTTGTGCAAGACCGCCTCGCCCGCGAGGCAGGGCCAAGAGCCTGCTGCACTGCGAGACGGCCTGAAAGCGGAAGTGAGCATCATCAGCAAAAACAGGAACACTAACAAGCATGAGTCTGGCGTGCACGTCGTATGGAAGGAAACTCCTGGGGAGGCTTGTCCAGGGGGGGTTGTCCATGGGGGGCTGTCTGGATCCCCGCTGGGTTGTCCAGGGGGTTGTCTGGGGTAGGTCGTCTTGTGATCATGAATCAGCATGGGTTGTCCTGGCTGTCCGTTTTTGGTTATGTTTGTTTCTTTTAAAGTACTATGAATCATATTATTAAGAATACGATTAGTAATACGAATATCAATAATACTGAGAAGTATAATACATATAAGTTTAGTAATAGTTCTCATCATCATAGTCCGAATCATAAGAAGCATCCTCATAATCATTATAGTATTAATCAAAGTAGTAGAAATATGAATAACAATACTTATCCCAGTGCGACCATACCTAGGAGTTGGAGCCCCTAGGAAAGCAGCATAAGAGATGGCTAAGCTAAGCTAAGATGAGATAAGCTAAGCGAAGCGAAGCGAAGCTTAAGCTAAGATGAGATAAGCAAAGCTTAACAAAACCAAGCTAAGCAAAGCTAAGCTAAGATAAGCTGAACTAAGCTAAGCTAAGGTAAGCTAAGGTAAGGTAAGCTAAGCTAGACTAAGCTAAGCTAAGCTAAACGAGGCTTAGCTAAGCTAGGCTAAGATGAGATAAGCTAAGCTAAGCTAAGCTAAGCTAGGCTAGGCTAGGCTAGGCTAAGATGAGATGAGATGAGATGAGATGAGATTCGCTTCGCTAAGCTAAGCTAAGCTAAGCTAAGCTAAGCTAAGCAGGGGGCGCAACTGGGGGAACCGCAGGGCGGATCCTGGGGGAACCGCCCGGGGCGAGGTCCACTGCCCGGCCTTTTAAGCATACCGAGCAAGAACCCTTCTAGGCAGAGCCTAGGCAGGGGGAAAAAAAAACAATACTAAAAGCGATTGGAATCTTCTTCCATTGAACATAGCGGCACATTGCAAACCAGGATTTTGCAGAGACTGCCTGCTGAGGAAATAAAGAGTGGAGAACGTTTCGGCACACGCCCGCAGTTTCGTGCCCGCCACTGGTCCTGGCGTGTCATGGAGCCCCCAGTCACGTGGCGCTGGCCGAGGCACCCCTCCAGCTGCTGGCCCGCACCTTGGTTGGACATGAGGGGATCGTCGCAGAGGAGGGGCCGTCACGGAATGGAAGCGGACCGACCCGGAGGCTTAAAAACGGCATAGGTGTACGTGTGACATCCATGATTGAGGTCGGTGATCCTCCGTTCTTGTTTTATGTCAGAGATTTGGGATGGTCGGGAGGTTTTCGAGCCCGTGGACAGAGTCAGGCAGGCCTAGGCCCAGGAAGAAGATCCACCGTCCCCGAGCGGTCTGGAGCGCCCTCCAGAGCGATCCGCAGCACTCCGGAGCAGTCGCGGCGCCCGATGCATCCTCCAGACCCGTGGACTCTCAGACATTCCCGGTCGGTCTCACCGTGATCGTGTTCTTATTGTTTTGCCGATCGGCGCAGGCGCTCGCACCCCGCCTCCCCCCCCCCCCCATGGAGGAGATCTTTCCCTGTTTTTGGCGCCTGTGTCGAGCACGTGGAGCCCCTTCCCCAGGGGACGCGCCGTTGCAAGCAGGCGCATGAAGCAGAGGTCCGGAGCCAGACCCCGCCACCCTCTCCGCCCAATGTCGACATGCCGAACAAGGAAACGCTCACATCACGTCCCGATGTCGCTTTCTTCTTGCCGCCGTAGTCTCTCTCGCAGAGGGCTGGATCTGGCGACGCCCTGGACACGACATCGTCGCTCTGCGCGCCCCCGTGGGAAGGCGGGCGCGCGCAGCGGGAGGCACTTCTCAGGAAGGAGAGACAGAGAGGGAGAAAGAGAGAGAGAGAGAGATAGACAGGCAGAAAGAGAGAGAGAGAGAGAGAGAGAACAAACAAACACACAGAGACAATGAATCGTCGAAGCCCCAGAACGAAAAAAGAAGTAAATATGGGAAGTGGAGGGGAAGACGAAAGTCCAAGAGAATATGGGGAAATATGGGGGCTCCTGGGATTCGTGTCTATTTGCTTGCGTGTGTCCCTGAGCCCCTTGATCTCTGGAGCCCTCCATCTTCTGGACTTTGGGGGGAGGGAGGCGTGCGGGTCACATTGCAACCAGAACGGCAGCCAGATGGGGCACCTTACAACCAGCATGGGTTTTCCCAGAAGGGCACGTTACAACCAGGAGGGCCCCTGTACAACCAGGCATCTGAACGCATATAAGCGACGCGTATTCTTCAATGTCCGTCTTTGTGGCTCCACGCAAGGGAGACTGCTCGCTCTCTGAAGCGTGTTGGTTGTAAGGAAACTTCGTCTGAAGCAAGTATATGTGAAGCGGCGGATTCTTAATGGGATCCAACAGGAATCCGACTGGAGTCCTATTGGCACCCTTCCCACTGGGATCCGATTGGCACCAGATAGATTCCTTTGGATTCCAACAGGAGTCCTCACTATGGGGCCCACGGGTGTCTCACAGTGGGGGCGCGGCCACAAGAAACCCTCGCAAGAAACCGAACCCTGAAATCCCGCAACGTTTCTTGCCCAGGGCTTGGGTTTCTTAACCGACGGCGTCGCACAGAGAAACCCAGGGGGCTCTGGCCCGATCAGTTTCTTAGCAGGCCGCGCTCATCAAATACGCCAGCACGGCCTGGGAACAAACTCGTGGCGACCTGGGATGTAAACTACATGTGGTTGCGGCAGCGTTCCCGTGGCCAAAGGAAATCCTCGGGTGCCCCGCGAAAGCCCGTAACATATTCTCTTGTCGCCGCTAACGCCCGACGGCCAGTCCCAAGGTTCCAAGAAACCGGAGGCGCATTGGCGGGCCGCGAAATTTCCCTGCACCCCCCGCCGCGTCACATCCTGTCTGGGGCTGCGTCGCCAAAGAAACCCAAGGGGCCTCGGCCGCATGTGGTTTCACAGTGTCGTCGCCGAGCGGCTTACCGACCGAAGTGCATGATGCCCCGAGAGAGTCGCGCTGCGCGCCCCTTGCGGCGCGCTGTTCGGCCAGGGGCCGCGCTGCCTGCCCAAGAAACCCGAGGGGCGCTGTAACGGCTGGGCCTTGCCTGGCCCCCGTCGGAAACGCAATGGTCGCGCGCGGAAATCTGCGCGCCCACGCGTGCAACGCATGGGCGGGGCCCAACGGCCGCGCCCCAGATCCCGCGCGCCCTCGCAAGGAAGGCGTCGGCGGAAGCAAGGTTAAAACCTTGGCCACGGCCAGGAATCGGCGCGCCCTCGTGCGCGACGCACGGGCAGGGCCCTATTGTCGCGACCGAAGATCTGCGCAACCGCTCGCACAATGCACGGGCGCGTCGGCGAGGCCCAATGGCAGCGCCTAGTACAGAACCTATGTATGCTGACAATGCAAACCTCATCAGGCAAGGGCGCACGGCGCGCACGCGCGCATGCGCGCGCGCCCGCGTGCGCGGGGAGCGCCGCACTGTCCACAATCAAGAACCTTCACAAGAGCCCAT